ATTAAGGAGGGCACGTACTGCATGGAGCACTGGGTGTTAAACGAAAACAATGGATGTGGATCACCACATCAAAAACCAATGATGTATTGTATGGTGACTAACATCATAACATTAAAAAAAAGAAGATGAACTCAAGGAGGGCCACAAGACAATAATAATTAAAATGTCAAAGATTAAAGAAAGAATTTTAAAAGCAGAAAAAGGAATTAGTTACAAAGAAAGGTTAAAACGCTATCAGCTTATCTTTCAGCAGAAACTTTGTAGGCCAGAAGGGATTGGCATGATATATTGAAAGCATGGAAAGGAAAAAACCTCCAAGACTACTCTACCTGGCAAAGTTATCATTCAGAATTAAGAAGAGGGAGAGTTTCCCAAACAAAAGTTAAACAAATTTATCACCACAGTTACAAGAAATGTTAAAGGCACTCCCTTAAGTGGAAAAGAAAAAGGCCAGATTAGAAGAAAATTATGAAAAATTTCATGAGTAAAGGAAACAAAATAAAGGCAGTAGAGCAATCACTTATAAAGCTAGTATGAAGGTTAAAAGTAGTAAGATCAATTGTATCTAAAAAAATAGTTAATGGGACTCACAAAATAAGAAGATATAAAATATGACCACATATACATAGGGGGGACTGAAAATGAAGTTCATATAAAATGTGTTTGAACATAACTGACCATCAACTTATTATAGACTGCTATACACGTAAAATATTATATATGAACCTCTTGGTAACCTATAAAAAACCTATAATAGATACACAAAAAATGAAGAGAAAGAAAGTAATACACTAAAAAAGTCATCCATTACAGAGAGCAAGAGAAGAAGAAAGGGAGAGACAAAAACTATCAAAAAAATCAGAACACAAAATGGCTGTAAGTACATACCTACCAATAATTACTTTAGGGTCATCTGGGTGGTACAGTTCGTTAAGCGTACAACTCTTGGTTTTGGCTCAGGTTGTGATCTCAGAGTCGTGAGATCGAGACACGTATCAGACTCCATGCTCAACGTGGAGTCTGCTTAAGACCCTCTCTCTCCTCCCTCTGCCCCTCCCACCTGTGCACATGATTTCTCTAATAAATAAATCTTCAAAAAAATCTTTAAAAAAATAATTACTTTAAATGTAAATGGTGTAAATATTCCAAAAGACCTAGACAAAATGGTTAAAAAAAGACAAGACCCATCAAAACAAAACAAAAACAAGACCCATCAATGTGTTCCTGCAAGAGATTCATTTCAGACATAAAGACACATATAGACTGAAAGTAACAGGATGGAAAATAGCCCAGGCAAATGGAAGGGGGAAAAAAGGTGGGGGCGCCTGGGTGGCTCAGTTGGTTAAGCATCTGCCTTCGGCTCGGGTCCTGATCCCAGGGTCCTGGAATCAAGTTCCACACCAGGCTCCCTGCTCAGTGGGGAGTCTGCTTCACCCTCTCGCTCTGCTACTCACTCTCTGTCTCTGTCAAATAATAAAAAAAAAAAAAGGTGAGGTATCAACTCTTAGACCTAATAGACTTTAAAACAAGTCTGTAACAAGAGACTAAGGTGAACGTACATAATGATAAAAGGATCAATCCAGTGAGAGGATACAACAGTTGTAAATATCTATTATGCAGCCAACATTGGAGCACCTAACTACATAAGGCAAATATTAACAGACATAAAGGAAAAAATGGACAGCAATACATAATGGTGTAGAGGACTTTAAACCCCACATACATTAATGGATAGATCATCCAGACATAAAATCAACAGAATACACATTCTTTTCAAACACACATGGAACATTCTCCAAAACAGATCACGTGTTAGGCCACAAAACAAGTCTCAATAAATTCAAGAAAACTGAAATCATATTAAACATATTTTCCAACCACGACGGAATGAAACTAGAAATCAGTTATCTGGAAAAAGCAAACACATGGAGGCTAAACAACATGCCACTAAACAACAACAAATGAGTTAACAAAGAAAGAGGAAATAGATAATACATGGAGACAATTACGAAAATATAATGGTCCAAAATCTATGGGACACAACAAAAGCAGTTGGAGGGAAGTTTATAGCAATTCAGGACTACCTCAAGAAACAAGACAGATCTCAAATAGACACTTCAACCTTACACCTAAAGGAACTAGAAAAAAAAGCTTAAAGTTAGAAGAAATTAATAAGGATCAGATTAATAAATAAATAGAATTTTTAAAAAAGATCAATGAAACAAACATTTCTTTGAAAAGATAAAGTTAATTAAACTTTAGTGAAACTCATCAAGACGACAGAAGACTCAAATCAGAAATAGAAGAACCAACTCCACAGAAATATAAAAGATTATAATAAACTACTACTGAAAAACTATATGCAAATTGGACAACCTCAAAGAAATGGGTAAATTCATGGGGCGCCTGGGTGGCTCAGTCGTTAAGCGTCTGCCTTCGGCTCAGGTCATGATCCCAGGGTCCTGGGATCGAGTCCCACATCAGGCTCCCT